CTTGTGTGTGATTCCATAGATTTACTGTACTTTTTCTTGAATTACACACGTTTAGGGTTAAAACGGTCAATCTTGGGATATTTTTACTCAAGTCCTTATTTGTTAATTATTGTGGTTGTTTATGTGCTGTTCTAATTTTTATTTCATTCTGTTGTGAAGCCTTTACTTTATTTTCCACGTTTTTACACTCTGTGTGGCTACAAAGGATATTCTGGTTGCTTAAAACAGCACAAGAAATTCTGGTGCTTTAGATTAAGTTACCTCTATCAACATAATATTGCTATACGTTGTCACAGAGAGTTGAAAGCTTGAAAATTAATGGCAACTTTTATGGCAACTTTTGCCAATTTTTGTGACAACTTTTGAACCAAAAAAAGGCAACAAACGCAGATGCTAGTTTAACACCCATCTCGGAACTACCAACCAAGTCTCAGATGGAATTCGAACCCATGCTACTCACACCATAGTTCAGGGTCTAAAAAGAGATCAAAGCCATCCCCAGGAAATGTCTTTGGTCCCTCAAGTAATGCATCCTGCGCAGAACTTAACATGCAAGTCCCTTCGTTTTTATTGATGCATTAAAATTGAATCAAGACTAAAAATAAAAAATAACATTTTGATGTTTCACCCGACGTTCTAAAACCTCTATGAGCATTTATTTCACTAGGTAAAAAAACTAAAACAAGACAGTGTCGAGCGGGAAAAATGAAAGACGAAGACATAAACAAGATTAGTATGTTCATAAATGTTTATAAATGTTCATAAATGGCGGGCACGGCCAGGAGCACAAACACACATCACAACAAAGTCAATCATTAAAAAAAAAAAAACCCATGAAGAAAATAATCGGAGTAGCAAATTTGCAGAAGTATCATACTATTCTTGAGCACTTCTTAAAAAAACCAAAATGCAATAGGTTCAGAGATATGAGCAGGGTTTACCAAGATTTCACTGGCAAGAATCCACGGTCTAGCAAACTAAATTGAAATTTATAACCTTTCTTGTTTTAGTGGGTCCCGTCTTCACTCTCGGCATGACAATCCATCTCAAATTTAGGGCTTATGCCTCACAGTGGAAAGTAAAGAAAGAGTATCCATCCTAAGAAAAATAAAATAGAATCAATGGAAAAAAAAACTCTGTGAATTTGATAACAAAATAACAAAAGACAAACTGGAAACTGTGAGTGTGAAAAGAGATTAATGTACAAAACTTAAAATCTCACACATGTAGTGTATAATATTAAGAGCTCGCATTTGACGCATCAAAGATACAGTGGGTGGTTGACGAGTGCTCTGGTGTGGTTTTTCTTTCCTATCAAACATCTATCGTCCTTATCTCCCCTTTTTTATGTTTGTTACTCTCTTGTAACACCTCTATTCTTCTGGCGCTCATATGCAATTGCGAGTGCCGTAAAACCTCTATAAAACTAAAACTATAAAAAACTAAAGATACATCAAAGACGAAAAACTCTGCATAAGTTTACGTTGCACCATTTAAAAAAAACCACAAAAAAACAAATTACCTAAACAAACAAAAAAGTTTGCCATAAAAAGGAAAGCCCAAAATTATCTTCATCTTTGTAATATCTCAAGAACTTTTTTAACTTTCTCTTACGCATGTGACCTTTCATTTTAATCATTACTTTGAAAATGTTATTACAGTCTCCAACAACAATGCAAAACAGAAAGAGGACTAAAGAACCCTCCTATATTCTCAATATTTTGGAAATCTGAGCGCGTTGTTTTATTATGAAAAAGCCTATAAAAACAGAACTTATCCTTTTTTTTTTTTTTACAATCCGCTACTTCGGTGCAACAAGCTTTAAAGACATTATAATTCATTGAATAAAAACTCTTCATCAACTGAAGGATATTTAGACTAATAGTAATAAGAATGATAAAACAAACGAAAAAAAAATTAACGGGAAGACAAAAGAATACACTTCAAAAGACTATAAGCATTCATGATTTACAGCATCAACATCATGAGTTATAAAGAAGTATTTAAAGGTGGTGCAAAATGACAGGAGCAGTGATTAGGCAGAGCTCAAATGTGAAACGCAAAACACAATTTTGTTGAGCCATATGCCCCTTTTACCATAGTGATGCTGTATCCCATACCTTTACCAGCAAGATTCCATTTGAGCAATTAGGAAGAATCTTTAAAAACTCTCATCCTCAAGTCCCAGTGTAAGAATGGGATTCAAACCCTGGACATCACTACTAAGACATGGACATCACTGGTCCAACAAAACTGACAAACTGGAAAATACAATGAGAAAAATTAGATACAAAAAACTGAACTTGCATATGAAATAGTCTGATAGCCTGCATTGTGTATATGCATCATCCTTTCTATAGCACTGAAAAAAAAACTTCTTATCTGCAAATTTCACTATAATATTTGAGCTTGCACAACCTCAAGAAGGTAATCGAAGAACTTATCAAAATCTTAAAAGATATTGTGTAACTCTTGGTTTGGACACAGGTGAGATAAGTTCCAAACAAACTTAACTTTAAGATTAATGTTTAAAATAAATTTGGATATGAAAGAAAACACCTTCTGCAACACTTTCCTAAATAGTGACAATCTTTAAATTTGAAACATCTCAGATTATTTACAAGGCCACTGACAGATACTTTAGCCGGAAAGCACAAAACAATCAGACTTTATTTCTGGGTCATGAACAGTAATTCAAACGAGACAGCAAGCTTTTGTTATGCATTCAAAACACAACAAGCAAATGGAATGTTACCCTTCGAATCTTTGTACTTTTACAGCGATAAAAATATTTGCCAATCATATCCATGCCTCCCTGTTCTGATGGCAGGTCGCAAATAAGTATGATCGTATCCAAAATCAGACTTCATCATCTTTTCCTGCAGAGATACAATGATGAAACTCGAGAATAGGGGTAAGCAAATAAAAGATCAGCAGTTACACTTACAAATACATATCTTTTTAAAACAAAAAGAAAAGAACATACAGATGTCCTATAGTGTAGACTGAAAAACAGGATAAGATTTACAGACATATATATATACACAAAGAAAGGAAAAACAGAAATGACAGAAAAAGGCAGGCAACTACCCTGATGACAGAAAGAAACTGACAGAGACATTTCACTGGCGGACTGATGGAAAAATATGGCAAAGAGAGAAAGCAAGAGAGAAAGCAACCCCGAGATCCATCCACTAGAGAGTAAACAAACAATTATAATAGCTTATCACTTAGAATAGTAGCTAATTCATCTCATTTTAGGAAATGACCCATACATGCCTCAGGAGTAAAACCCTGCTGAGGGACTTGGAAGATTAACCATGCCAGAAAAAAAAATTATGGCAATCAAACACAATTTCGATACATCAGTCATCTGTTTTAAAAATAAATCAAAAGGGGTCTCTGTACCAATGCAAGAAACAGCAATATTGTGTGGAGACTTTAATAGATATATGGAAGTATTAAAATTACAGATGAAATAATAGTATCATTGCTAAAATGGAAAAAAAGTATATGACAAATATAAAAAAAAGGCAATCCAGTATTTCTTGAGTATAATATATTCTGATCTCAGTGTGACATATATAATCATTTCTTATGCTTGGGAGAAGACAACAAGACGCAACAAAATATGCTGTAACAAGAACCTGACAAACACATTACAATGAAAACAGATGAAGCACAATAACAACGGCACCACTAAAAAGACAACATACAAATAATGACAACAACAATTAAAAAATTAGTCAAAACAGTCCTGACATCAATTGTTACCTCTTTCTCAATTTGTGTCACATCTTTTACATTTATGTTCATGAAAAGGTAAATATAATTTTCCACAAAGCATTCACATTCATGATTCAAAATATGAACTATCAAAGTATGCTTCAGTATTTTGGCATCATGAATCATCACATTTGTTCCCCATACGTACACAAAACCCATTAATAAAGTAGGCCTACATTAAAAAGCTAAATAAAAAAACAAAGAACATTAGTATGACTTAACATCCATGCTTAAGACTGTACTTAGAGGAAAATGTCAGTTAATAAATTTTGTATGCAGAAGAAGTGATAGTACTTTGAGATAACGTGCCCATTCCACGTATAAAATATGAATAGGACTGCTGGTACCACCTTTATTGAGGTTTTCCCTTTAAGTGGCATTATTCTTTTGCACCATGTTTCTACACTTACCCCACTTTCTATCAAGAACAAAGGAGAAGGGAAAGAGAAACCTATTGGAAAACTTGATATCTCTTAAGTTTAAAGTATGTTCATCTCCACTCATTTAATGTTCATAAAGCTTGCTACAAGATCTCTACTGAGCCCTCATGTCCACTTTGGTGCAATTAATCCAGTTCTACCAGATCTTTTGATTAACTTCTTTTTACTTTCTATCTTTCAAGCACATCAAACACACTGAAAAAGTAAACTGTTTATCAATATTCAGATACATTAAAGCTAACACACAAACCAACACACATGAAGTCTTTCTCAGACCCCAGAGACAAGCAGTATTCATTTGTGTTCCAACGCGATGGAATCAGGCTCTCGTCAATTTTGGGGCAAGTAGAGTCATTGGTATAATCTCAAAGCTTGTTCATTTGTCTCTTTTTTTTTAGCTTAAAAAAATATCCATTTATTTCAAAACACAAGTCGAGATATTTTAGAATGAAGTAGGTGGGGGGGGGGGGGAGGGGTTACCTGGTTTCAGAGGTAAAGTTAGTGAGAAAATGGCAGCCAAAGATGAATTAATTCCTTCTTAGCTTGAGAGTCAGTGGAAACTAAAAATTTGCATTTTTTATGCCTTCAATCAACGTTTTTCAGTAAAATCCACACAGAATTGTTCTTTAATGGGCACGAAAAGTGTTGAGACAAATAACGAAATTCGATTTTTAAAAATGTAAAAACCTGCGAAAAAATGCCTGTTTCTTCACTTTGATTTTTTTGACGAGCGCCTGATTTCACCACACTGCCTCACATTTTTTTTTACCTTTCATGATGGTACACTATACATTTCTCTTGCAATATGTACTGAGTCAAGCTTCAATATTGCATCTTATGTGGATTCAGACCCATGAAAATTAATCTTATTATACACAACTGGGTACTGCTGAAATCACACATGGTACTGAGAGAAAGAAGTCGAAAGCACCCAGAGCAGCAATAGTAAGAACAAAAAAAGACATAGGAAACAATTTCAAGTTGCTTTTGCTGCAGTAAAAGAGTAACTTCGTGTCCACCTGCAAAACTTAGAGCAACAGTTGCATAAAAGTAAAAACTTAGGGAAACTATCGAAAGCAAGCTACAGGCAAATCTATTCTGAATACCACCTGTCCAAGACAACCCCCCCCCCTCTTTCACAAAATTTTTAACAAATATAATGACACTGCCCAAGACAATCACAGTGCTGTCCAAGATAACCACTTTTCTCCTCAACACTGAGTGGCCGTCTTGGACAGGTTCACTTGTACAGGTTGAGGCTACAAGTAACACCATGAAGGAAAACCCATTAAAACTCATCACAATCATGAATTTTGTATAATACTATTCAATTTGCCAGCAAATAACAGCAGCTTATGCCTCAGTCAAAATCAGAAGATACTGTCAAATGCATAATACTTATTCTTTACTCAACTTTCATAAAAACAGACATGTGGTGTACAAAAACAATGGCCATTTATAAGACGTCTGGACACACACTCCAAATAAAGATTTGTCACAACAGTACACACTAAAAGAGAGTGGAATGATTATGGTAAATATATTTTCTGCGTACATCTCCAAGCATAAAGAAGTAGGAACCACAAAGAGCTGACAATAAGTGTATGCTGAGTGGGAAATGTTTAGTAAGGCACCTTTTGTCTTTGGCCAACTGAAATCTTTTTATTGTTTTTGTTCTTTCAGCAGCAAAGAAAAAGAAACAAAGTTAGTCCACTCTAACAAGCTGCAAGTACTCAGTGAGACTCAAAACTGAAAACTTCGCAATAACAGGAATATGCATACTGAGCAAAGCATGCTATTCCAATTCAATATGTAAATTATGACTCGTATAAAAAAAGTGATGTCTTTTCAAAACCCAAAAACAACTAAAACAGTAAGAAATGAATAATAAAAAATGTGTGGCAATTAATTCAACTATGAAGAAGAAAAAGTCAGACAACAGACTGCAAAGATACCTTAAATGTGTGGCACTGTGATTGTAAATTACTTTAACTCTTTTTCTCCAGACTTAAGAGTACACTCATCTGATTACTGGTCAAGTTTTTTCAAGGAGACTAGTTACTCAGTTACTGATATTCCATAAATAATGTAAACCCCCAAGCTTTATCTAAATTTATTTTTAAAAAGGAAATGCAACTAAGCATAGCTGGAGTGAGTTCTCCTGTTAGCAGTTTTCAGTCTTTAGAGTGGAAAACCATTAGGAAAGTGTATGACAGAGGAAATTCTTCACCAAACGGAGCTGGATTCCAAGAGTGAGGCAGACTATTCTGATGAAAAAGATCTAGACACGAGTCTGGAAAGTTTGGTTCAGGAAGTTTTTGAATTTTATTCTGCTTCAAAGACTAATACCAAGATTCACCTAAAAAGATGTAGGAGAAGAGATGGGTCTGAGAAAATAGAAAATTTGACTGTTTTTGAAAGGAGGTGTGGGGAGAGGGGGAGTTGATTATCAATTTCCAATCATTCAAGATGCATATGATTACAATGGAAACAAAGTGCAGAATGTCGTCCTGACAATTTCCTTCCTTGCTATAAAACACATTCTACAAAAAAACATTTAATTTCCATTTAATATTCACAAGTCTAATTAAAGTCTAAAGTCAAATAATTGAAACGTTTTGAGTTTGAAGTTCCTAAACGAAATTCCTCATTATTCAAAGCAGTAGCCTCAGGATCAGCATATCATTAAGGTACCAAACTCAGGATTAAGTTAAAAATTATGCTCCTCAACTTAATTTTTTAAAACCCAATCATTCCAAGGTTTTCACTCATTAAAGAGGCTACCATTCCAGATTTTCCACAATGGTAATCAAAATACGTTGGAGCTCTCATCTCTAGATTTACTAAGCAACTGTCATTCTCAACCTTATACATTACGAAAGGAGGAAAGTCACAAAAATCTCTATGAACAAATCTTGTTTGCTTCACTTTCAAATGCTTACAAAAATTACTAGTTTTTCATCTCTTCAGAAAAACCAACACAAATGAGGCCTGACTTTGCCTAAGATGACCTTACTCCATCATAGAAACTTGAAAAGCTTTGATAATGTAGGAATTAAACAGCAGAAATTGAACATTAGTAAATAAAGCAAAAATACAGACTCAGAATAGAGCAACTGAAATATCAACAGTCAAAATGTACAAAAACTTACAAATAGATGTAGAACATAACATGTACACATATTTTTGATTTCTTTTCTTCAAACTAATATCCAGCACAGTATCAGAAATTCAAAGGATTCCAACTACACAAAAGTTAACACTAAAACAAAACGAAAAACAACACGAAAAAAAATCAGTTTATTTGCAATAATAAATTGTACTCTCGGTATGTCACACAATAACATCAGATAAAATTATGATTTCATATTCATCAAAAATAACCTTGAGAAAATCTTGACTCTTTAAGATGTAGCTTATTCCTTGAATTCCCTTCATTCCCTGCTCATTAAGATGTTACAAATATAGACCATGGAACTTGAAAAATCTAGTTCCATATTTGCACAGAATTCTAGTTTCAACATACTTGAACTGTTTCTCCCAACCCACCCCCTTCCCTCCCTGAATCCCCCCACCCCCTTCCAGAGTGGAGCACATCCATAATATCTCCATTTCAAAGATGATTTTCCTCTGCTTGACACACTGCTACCGACTGGACTGTTGCAATATTCCACCATGCACCAGTTCTTCAAACACATGGTGACTCAGTGGCAGATTTAGGCATCAAACCGTTGGTATGGGGCTTCATCCTTCACCAGACCTGTGTGAAGAAAGCATTTGAAAGAAATCAGTGATAGTCTTATTGGAGTGAGCGATCAAATATGGCAGCAAACTGCAACACGCATCAAAAAAGTAAACAGGACAAAGTAAAGAAAGGTAGGAAAATGACAAGACAAGATTATTGCAGCTGGTTCCACCCCTCCATTATTTCTTGAAAATAGTGCCGTCTGGTCACAGAGTCAATCATAATCTTTATCACCGCCAAACTGTTTGATCTTATCGACACCTGAAAATGAAGCAACCCTCACAGCAACACACTGCAGTTGTGCTCATAGCTACTCAGGAAGGACTTAGGCTATGCCTGACGCCTAGATCCCAGTAGACCGTGGTCAATCAGCCAGGACTTACAGAAGACTGTCATAGTGCAGTAGACTTTCAACTAAACTGGCATCAAAAAGTCATAATGCATGTTTTACTATAGAAATAGGGGCTTTTATCAAAAGATGCATTGTCTACATAAATACAAGGAAATCTAAAATGAATATCTCACCATACTTCCTCCTGATCTCATCAAGTCGGCTCTTCCTCTCACTTCTTCGTTCATCTTGCTTTGTCTTTCTCTCCATTTTCTGCTGTTCATATCTGGCATCTTCTCTTTCAAACCTAAAAATGAATGAAAATAAAAGACCAAGTAAATCACAATGCTGCAAAGATATATTATTAAAAGAGGAAGAAATGAAGATTTCCCTATCTAATCCATTGTTGAAATGTTAAAATGTTATGTTTAACTAATGGTAACCATAGCAGCTCAAATCATTTCACGAGTAAGAACAATTTACACAACCATATGATAGGAAGCAAACAAATTATCAATTGTGCAAATATGAATTAACAGCTTGCTTTAACCATTATTTTAACAAAAAAGTAGACTGACTTTTTGAAAGCTGTGTCACTGAGCTGGGAAAATTCAGTAAATCTAATAAATTAAATAGACAATAATAATTTTACTGGTGTCTTGAGACCGCCAAACAGACGACGAGTCGGATACTTACTTCTTCTTGTTCTTTCCACGGCAGCAGCAGCAGTAGATACAACACACGACGATGGTGAGAATGATTACACCTCCAATCACACTCACAGAAATGATCAAGGCCTCAAAATTCACTGAAAAAGAAAAACAAAAATAATTTCCAACACAGGCATTAAGAATGAACAAGCTTCAAGAGTACGAATTAAGTTTAGCCCACTTAATCCTGTAGCGTAATTCTAAGAATTTATTCTTGGCATCAAGAAAAGCATGAAGTACCTTCTAACTTATCCCCATTTCACTCATATGATAAGAATAATTGACATTATTAACATTTACTACGAAAAGATAAAGGAAGTGTGGAAATAAGATACCATTTGAAAAAATCTTTATGTAACTAGAAATGTTCTTAGCTTAGTGCCTCAAAGTAAATATGTCTATGAGCACAGTTAAGCATCAGGGAGTCTAAAAGGTCCCACTTTTCACATTCCCATCATTTTTCATCCACTTATCTTTCAAGTAATTTGTCAAACATTCTGTGTAAATCATACAGTAACTCATTTTCACACTCTAAAATTAATCATAATGCACTGTTCCTGCTGTGTACTAGACACTAACAGAGAACTACTGACCTCTTTCAATGAAAGATCACACCAATGGAAGCAGAATATTTTTGGTGTTGTAAGATAAATAAATTGTTTCAAACTGTTTTACACACATTGACCCAACACTGTTTATGAAGTGTTAAGAAAAAGCAAAATAGAAAGTACAAAAGAGAGAGAAGAAATTATGAAACTGTTAGGTGAAAGGACAGATAATACAACACTATATATAACTCAAGAAAAAGATGAGAACATTAGAGAGAAAAATAACGAGAACATTTTTTAAAGACTCAATATCCTCAACCTTATCTTTTTCTGAAGAAGTTAATTCGCTCATTTACCCTCTAATTAAGCATTCGAGAATTTCATTGTCACGATTTGAAAAATAACCACAGCAGCTAAATAATATAAACAGAAAGACAACAAAGACTGAAACAGTGCCAACATGAACATAACTTACACCAACACACTCCCCATCTCGCCTCGTCTAAAGCACACATGGTCGAAGGAGGCAGAACATCGCCGGCCGGGTACAACTGACAGCTGTCGTCAGTGTAGCAGTACATACACTGAAATAAAAGTTGACTCTTAGAAGTTGACTCTTAGAAGTTGTAAGCCTATTCCCTGCTTCATCGCAGCAAGTTTGGTTTCAAATAGTACACGTTGGCATTTTCAGTATAAACAAAGATAGTTATCAAGCTATAAGCATGCATTGCTCACGAAAATGTTCAAAATAGAATAAAGATTTGACAAATATGAGGACACAGTTGCACTACAGGCAAGCAAATATTTACGATAAACAAGTAAAATAAGACAAAAACAAAAACAGCACCGAACCAAATGTGCCGACTTTTAAGATTTAAGGACTCCCTTCTTAGTTTGACTCATCAGTATATAAGCAAAGAGGAGCACATTGACACAACACTGTTTGTCTAATGCTAAGAAAAAGCAAAATAGAAAGTACAGAAGAGAGAGAAGAAATAGGTCCAACCAATACAATTCCATTACCATCCATGACAGTCATTCAACTTTTCAACCAGACAATCCTATCGTTTGTAATTACTTTGTTTGGTTTTAATAAGGTTTTATGGCGCTCACAACTGCATAAGGTCATATGAGCGCAAAGGGGTGGATGTCAACAGAAAAGTCCAAATGGGGAATCAGGCTTACACTGTTTACCTCTCTAGCCACAACAGTAAAAAGTCTGATTTGACTATCAAGGCACCCCGGAAATAGCACTTCACAAGAGAGTCACAAACATACAAAAGAAGTAGAGGAAAAATGATGATAGTAAGGATGAGGAAAGAAAAAGCAGCAGTTCCCCCTATGTTGTTCCGGCACAGTATGAGCATGATATTGATAAATCAGCCCATTTACAATTCTACTGTGCAAAAGAACATGTTAATATCCCCCCTTTGGAAATGGCCTAAAGACAACTCAGTCAGTAGGACTGCCCTGGTGGGGGGTGGTATTTATTTTCCGGACAACGGATGAATATCAAATTTAAATGTATAAATCCAAAAGTGACTATTGATAACAAGCAATATATTAAGAAAAGCTGGGAACCAAAATGTTTCCAATTTTGAATAAGATAAATCATAACCAAGTACATGAGAGATACCCCTCTCTGTTTCTTACCTTTGCATCACTAACACATTTGTCACAAGATCCATTGTACTGTTTACATTCTGAAAAAAATAAAACAAACTGCTGATGTAAACAACATGACAATACCAGCAAAAGAAACAGAAAACAACTATTATCATAAAAAATTACAAAGAAAAAATAAGCAGTTTTATACACACTGTGGAAGGAGTGGAATGGCGATGGGAGACTTGTGGACAAATACTGAAGTCATGCATGTGACACAGTAGTTATCATTTTAAAACAAAAGCAATCTGTTCCCCCTCAAAATGATTTTCAGAGAAACTGACTGGTCTCTAGAGACTGAAGTCAAAGTATATGTAATGAGGTCCACTACTCACTTCAATGAGATGAAAGGAAGAATGTGATATGCTGAGTGAGTGACCAATCTAACACATTATTAAGGTAAAAAAAAAAATGTTATTGTTTGTTGCACTCAACACTGAACAATAAAGCATAAACACTCGCTTCCAGAACACGAGTAAAATAAAGTTGTTCCCGAATCCGATCCGGACATTGGGGATTGCCTTGTTAGTGAGACAACTTCCTGGGCTTTGGCATATAGTGGTAGGGTGGCCAGTGGGCTTATGTATTTTTTCTAGGAGTAATCCCAACAAAACCATCCACCTTTCACTGCCCACACCTGTAAGCATCCCCAACCTCTTCCCCTATTTTAGGATCACCAAGTGATCTATAACAAGTGCAATTTGCACACTGAATCTCCAAGATATTTTGCCCTTATCCGAGAAAGCTAGGTGTCCAAACTAACCTACCATAAGATCAGGGGTGTGGCTGAAAGACAGCAGTAAGAAAGAGGCAGGAAAAGCAAAAAAAGTCAGGATCACGTGAGGGGAAGAGAGTGGATAGAAAAGTAGATGAAAGAACAGTGACTAGAAAACAGGAGAGAAGAACAAAGTAGACAATTTAAGAAAAGAACATTTTTTTGTCACTAGCAGGTTTCGACTCTTATCTTTTGACTGAGACGCAAATATTGCACCTCGTAGACCCAGAGAGCTCCCCGTCCCCATTAAGCGACTCATTTTACCTGCTCTGCAAATATGACATCAAGTCCTGAGGTAGGATGGACATGCTGTGTATACCATGAGCCATTTGGCAGCTCAAGCCTAAAAAGCCTGATGCAAACGAAAACAACATATGGTTGCTGAGTAAAAATTGTTACACCAGTAAAAAAAACTTTTTTTTTTTAATGTAGCACTATTCAAACCAACTACTAATGACATCTATAAGGGGAATATAAGAGAAAAAGTTTTCGTTGAACACAGACAAGTCAGAGGTCTTTTCAAAAACAGCAACCATTAAACAAGTCTGAAAACCAATACATAGACAAAAAGTTGCGGAACTCACGATCCTTTGGCGATAGAGTGGTCGCACTTGGAGTAGTCGTAGCAGTTGTGGCTGGAGCTGCTGATGACTTTTTAGTCGTGCTCATCTCTGTGGAAGGGGCTGGTGTTGAGGACAGAGTGCTGCTTGCAGAAGTTGAGGATCCTGCTCCGAGAGCTTGGGCAACAAACAGTGCAAGCATCAACCCGCAAAGGTAGGCCGACACCTTAACTGACTTCATCTCCATGGTTTACAAAAGTATAAGATGAGTGGGCTTTGCAGAGAATACCTAAGAAAAAAGGAAAGAAAAGGAGTTCAACAACTGTCTTTTCTTCCATAAAAGACAACTTAAAATTTCACTTATGAAATGCAGTTATTGTGTAGATTATGTAACAGACACAGAGGTTGTAATTCCAAACACTAAAAATTCTATAATTATTAAAATTTAACACAATTTGACACAAAGTTTTGAATCTGAAATTATTACTACTGAACTATTATCATTTCAGCAATCCATTTATTTTTATTTAAAACACTGAGAACTTTGGTGCTACTATGTAATACAATAGAAAGAGGAAGTCATTTCTGAGTTTGATCTGCCAGTATGCTACAGCAACAGCAACAAGAAAATATCCAAACTCTCTTGTCATCAAACACTGCACACATCCATCCAGGTCATGCATGCATTGAGTCAATTTGTCACTGAGTACAAAGCCAGGAGACAGAATTAATGCTCAAAGCTCTAAAACTGTAAAAGCTGAAAACAGCTGAATCGGGCTACCGTGGCCTCAGCTAACCAAATGATTGGGAGACCAAAAAGAAATGGGTTCTTAGACAGACCTAGTTCTAAGGTAGAATTAAAAGCGCACAACTCCGCTCCAACCGCCCTTATTATCTTTCATTCATTCTATGAAGAAATACAACTAAACTGGAGATACTGCCGCTATAACAAAGATGCATTGTCACTTTGATTTAACAGCATTCTGAAACTATAGAATAAAAATAGTTGCAACACTTGAAGTAGAAGAATGACCAGTGAAAGAGCCAGCTTTAGAGATACACAATGCTTTCAACATGTGAGGGAAGAACACGAAATTGAACCAATCAAAAACAACTTGAAGATTGACCCGATCAGCAGAGCCCAAGAATAGGCCTAAAAATATCTGTGTAGTCTGAGGAGTTGTGGTTGGAGCTGCTAATGACTTTTTAATCATATTTACAGGAGTGTTCCACCTGTTGAAGAGACTGGTGTTGAGAACTACTGAGGATACTGTGTAAAAAACTCATCGTCCACTCTCATCCACACCAACCTCTTCCCTTCTTCTCAACCCCTCTTTCCACATGTTTTCTTTTCTTTCATTAAAAATGATACTGCATTATCAGTTGCAAAGGTAAAGTAGTACTCAAAAGTGTAAGGCCTGTAGCTCAAATCAGGTACAAAAGAAGATTTAAAGTTCAAAACGGATTGTCAAGCATACAAATTATACAGAATAAATTCCATTACATAGACAAAGCAGGCTCTTAGATGGACAGGGTACTTATGCCAAGAGTTATTTGGCAGAATCCATTGTATTTCAGAATGGGATGAAAACTAACTCTAACTAGGATTATGGAAACATGGAAACAGCATTTTTGAGGAATGTTACAGTAAAAAAGAAACCAACTTGAAAACTGTAAAGCACATCCCCCCCCCCTTCCCAAACATACACCCAGAGGAAAGAACACATTTGACTGTCGTTTTGAGGGCTACAAGCAACTACAATTGTATTCCATTTCCATCATCATGGTGTTGCAATCTTCACATAATGATCTATCCAGCTCCTCTTTATACGACATAGTCGTGAGCATTAGATAAAGCAGGTAAGTATTAAAGAATGGGACTTACATATAAGTGACTTAGGCACTGCAGTTTTGAAAGTAATTCTAGTAGTTTTGAGTTCTTTCATCCCATAATGTAATATTATAAAGGACACAAACAACATGGTACTTGTAATAGTTTTTTTAACTAACTACATAAAGAAATTAATCAAGTAAATTGCAAAATAATATTTTAATACTTAATAACTGAACTAAAAAACAATAATTCATCAGCTAAAATATCAAAAAGAATCAGGACTGAGGAAGGAACGAAGATAAAAAATTCTTCAAAAAGAAGTCAAACAGCTGCTGAAAGAAAAATAAATTGAAATTAAAAAGCTATAGGTGGGATTTTTTAAATATGATATCAAGTAAAAAGGGGAAGTATGGTATAAATAAGAAGCAACTATATTGAGGGTGAAACCAGAGGGTCTTGGGTACAACAAATGGTATGGTTTGACAGAAATCGTTTTCCAGATTGCTACCAAGATAAATCAGAAGAAGCACAACAAATATTTCTTACATAGTCCAGAAAATATTATCCTCAATAGGCAAAAAAATTAATTACAACATCTTAAAACAATATAACAATTTGACCAATGTACACAGCCTCCATCAACAACTGCTGTTTCGAAGTCCATTTACAGATTATAAAACTGGAACATTTTCAAAGAAAACAAGTAATAAATGCTGTGCATATGGACGTATCTGTCTAATCGCATGCTGAGAGAGAGAATGGAGAGAAAAAGAGACAGAGTAGGAGAGACAAAGAAATTTGTAACAGTACATTGATGACCTCCGCTGAATCTGAATCTAAAATCCATAGGAGCATCAAACAGAAGAATACACCCGTTTCTTTTTCTTTTTCAACTTAAGAAGCTACTTTAGTATTAATACAACACCCACAGAAAAAAAACAAGTCCAATGACTGCCAGTAGTCTGTATCATTTATAAGTTATAGACCTGCTTGTAAGATAAAAAAGCATTGGATCCTACTCTATTAATGCTTGGAAATTATTTTTTTTTGCTTTTCAGAAAGAGATCTTTATCTGGTTCTGAGAGCTTTCCCAGTCAATCGTACAGAAATACAGTCGAGGGTGCAATCCCATTTCTACAGTGCCTGAGAGCATTAAGAATGTATGGGTCTGCTTTCATGTCTGTAAGTGTAAGGGTGATATATATATTATATCTACAGTCTGCTCAAAGGGAAACATAGATGCTCTATTAATAATATAAAACTATGCCAATGGGAGGCAGTGGGGCTCGAAAAACTGATGGGAATCAACTCTAGAGAAATTATAAAATTTCATGGAACAGAAGCAGAGAAGCAAGCACACGGCATGAAACTGATCTTTCCACACACTTATCGTAGAGAAAGAGCATTTTGTCATGACTCTTCTTGATCATAATGAAAGTCCTGAAAAAAAAAGAAAATGGCAAGAGCAGAAAACAAATCAGGGAACCCATGACTACTTTGTGTAATCTGGGGTGGTCTTTTTTCATCCTGTGACAAGCATACAATCAATGAAACACAATGTCCTTTCCCACCAGACTGATTCTATACCAACAGCAGAAATCTCAATAAAAAGAACAGCATCCGGTTGAGTTAAATATTCACCCTAGTTTATAACAAATACTGACAGGCACAGATAACTCAAACAAGTTGGGGATTGACAAATGTTCCACATATATATTCATAATTCAGGTTAACCAATAACGAAAACTTAAAAGAGATTTTAGTCTGGAAATGGCAAATTGTACGAACTATCCGTGATTTCCAGTTTTCCGTGTACATGTTATCTGCACCCGACTGTAATAGTTTTGTGCACTCTGACTCTTAGTTAAAAGCCTCAAAGTTTTTTTTACATGGAATTACTAGCATTAAAAATGCACAATGACTTTACAGCCTTATATATCATCCACATAAATATTTTTCTAAAACATCATCAAAGGGCAGAAATTACAAACTTAAGAATATACTTCCTTAGTTTCACTGAGAACACTGGTGCATTTGCAGTTTTTTTTAATATCCAGAACACCAGGTCAAAAGTTGATACCCACAACCAATTCCATACTGCCATGTTTGTTTATATTTTGCAGTTGAGGCCCTATATCTGACAGAAACCTATAACAACATCGTTGTGCAAAGAATCTGCCCCCAAAATTGTGTGTATTCTAATGGGACTTGAAATTTGTGACTTTGAAGAAACACTGGACATCGATGATGTTGAAATGCACTTTGTGAGAACCAGCAAAGCCAAGGGATGTCTTAAGGTGGAAGCTTGATCTAAATTTTTTACTTGATGGTCAGTACATAAGATATTGCTCAGCTCTGATTGTTGAGAAGTTGTACCTACTGTTATAGTGTTTGTGGAAAAGAATCTGTGCTATTTATCCGGTACACAAGCAACAGCTGTCAATGCAATATTACTTAAAAATAATTTTTGCTATACCTAAGATGGCAGGACCAAATTTCTTCCCAGCTTGCCTTCAGTATGTTCATTTAGGCCTGTGATAATCCTAAAACTAGCCCAACCACCCTTTCACCTGCCTTTTGCGTAGCAGATGGTTGGAGCCTTGCTGTCAGAAATGTGAGAACCAGTTTCAAACCAGTGTTTCTTTTTTCCAAAATTGTCCGAAACCAACCAAAACCATTCGAAACCTTGATATCTACGAAGGATCAAGGCTAAATCCCATATATACATGTGACCTAGGTTGAAGCCATATAAATCCCCTACCTCCTCCTCCTCCTCACCATTATCATCATCTTTTGACAGAGGGTTGAGGGTGGGCACCCAGCGAGCATGATTATGGCGACCCAAAATCCATTTGATGTCGCACAAAATTAATGTCCAATGTCGGCCCACTTCGCCCCATTCTGTTACTTTTAGTTAGCGTGACTGAGCGGCCCGCCAGAGCTCCCCGGCTCGGGGTCACGGGGTTAATTAACCCTGAAGCGACTTTGCCGGTGTCAGTAAAGAAGTTCGCATTTTTGTCTATGTTTGAAACAATTTAACTTCTTCCCCATCCCACACAGCAAACCATTATGATTATACTGATATACTAAAAGCTCAATATCTTGAAATTTATTCTGCGTATCGTTAGAATGGTTTAAAATTTCTGCTCCTTAGTTTTATTCTAGACAAGTGTTTGTAGAGTACTCAATTTGTCCTATTTTAGTCAAAAACTTATGAATAAATTATTGTTTATTTAAAAACGAAAGACAGATCTCTCCAAAATTGGTGTTAAACTGACTACGAATATAATGTCTTTTACCATGAGAAATCTTAAATTCTTGTATGGAATAAAAATAATGACAACTAACACATTCATTCTTAGTTTTTGTGTCGGAAATATGGGCGGACACTTATGAATGTAAAGAAATTAGAACATTGTCAGTTATTGCTAGTGGTCATTGAAACAAAAATAAAAATTGAAAAAATCTGGGGGGTGATTCTTTTTTTTTTTTTTTTTTGGTTAGTGTTTTACGGCGCTCGCAACTGCATAAGGTCATATGAGCGCGCGGGACACACCTAATACTTTTAGTTCGTAGGAAATTTTGAATTTTGCCCGGGGGGCGGCCGAAGCCTACTCTTGTTGATTTTAGACCACCAAGGGATCTTTAACGTACTCAACTTGCACACGGGCCCTCCGAGATTTTTCGCCCTTGTCCGAGAAGGCTAGGTGTAGATCTTTCAGGACTACCAGAAGATCAGGGGTGTGGCAGAAAGACAGCTGTAAAAAGGAGTCAAGGAGTAGCAGTAGAAAGGCTGCAGCAAGAGTCAGAAGCCCAGAGGAGGGGGCAAAGGAGGTGAGGGGGTGGGGGCAGAAAGAGGAGACGGAAGCAGACGACAGAATATTGCTAGAGAGCAGGAAAGGAGGTGAAATGAGACAATTTTAGAGAGAAGAAAATTTTTCGGTCGCTACCCGGATTCGAACCCGGGACCTTTGAATGAGAGGCCAATACCTTAACCTTTAGGCCACGAGAGCCCCCTGGGGATGATTTAATGTCACTGGAAAGCTAGAATTAAGATGGATTGAGTCACAAAATTACAGCTTTTTATTATATGTGCAGATACCATCTTTTCTGAGTATCTGCACCAATGTTATGTCCTGTCGTTCATGTTCCAAAAGTTCAACAGTTTTTGTTGCGCCGTTTTTTTTTATGTCGATTTTTTTTTCCATTCACACTTGTCCAAAAAATTTTGCAACTTAGCATTGACATCAAGTTTACTGATGAAATAATCAGACAAGTTACAATGCCCGTTCTTTTTCGAGTCTCAAGAGCAGAAATGTGTGCTTTGGGTGCATGATAATTACCATAAATACAAGGATACACCTAAAACTTTACGTTGAAAAGTACCAAAAATTAAGTCGGCCCAGACAGAGGGGCGACGGGGTATCAGGCCACATACAAGTTCCTTCCATTTATCTCGTCCTGGGCTATCCTTCCTAGCTCATTCTAATCAAATATGGACACTGCTAAAAATAATGTGCCCGAATCTACACGCTGTAGAACTCTTCATGGCTTCCTGTCCTTTGAATCCTGGGACAGTCAACCATTGACACTTAGCTTGTCTGTTTTTATCTTCTAATTCTTCCTCCTACAGTAGACAAACTGTCAATTCAACGAAGTCCTTTGTGCAGTCTTTTCACTTTCTGTTGTGGGTGATTCATCTCATGCAAGAGGCATACACTGTCAAGAATACTGGAGGCAGGGCATGAAAGTAGTTGCGCTGAGGTAGATATTCAGGCTTTTCGTCAATTCTGTGCCGTGGTGATCCTCACTACACTACAGTCTCCATACTCCATCATAATTATATCAATGCCCTGTTTAAATTAGTCTGATTTCTTTCATTTAGAATGGAAAAAAAACCATACAAAAAGTACAGTTAAAAAACTACATCTGTGGGCCATTGTTGGGGGAGGGGGCGGGGTGTATCAGCCCTGAGTATTAACTGTCCAACTAATAGTAATGAAACAAATGCTTACCATTACCACCCCACCACACCCCCTTTGCCCCATTTTTGTTTTTTATCACAGTTCACATGGTCACAACTCCATTATAAAGTATACCAAATTTAATATAGATCTAGATCTAGATCTAGATCTAGAATCTAGTACCAACTAAAAGTAGAATCCATCAGTTGATTATTTAATTATTAAAGAAAATTGAGTAGCCTAGACCTTGACCAGGCCAGAGAGGCAAACAAAAGGTCTAACTCTAATCTAGGCCCATTCTGTTTGCAGTAAAAGTGGAAATGTCAGTTCAAAATAGATTCTGCACAACCCTTGACACTTTTTAGAGGAGCCGAAAAATTTACCTTCACAAGTAAATGTTTCTTGGTGACATTGTAGCCCTCAATATTGACAGTAAAAGAGGCGTAAACAATCGCCCTTCTTTTACTTACAGAAAGACTACAGTCTTTCGTCTTTGGCCTTCACTCTTGACAATAACTTGGCTTAGCCTCCTAGACATTGATCTCTAAACTATGGCCACCGAACAAGACACATTTACAAACAATTTAGAGCAAGGCTACTCGAAACATGCTTTGCAGAGCCCATTTCACTAGATCTCTAGTTAATCATAAGCTTCACTTACAAAATGATTTGGTCTTGGTCGTCTTTCACTTCTACGCTGTGAGTGAGTTCGCTGTGTTTTTCACAGGTGAATCAGCTTCCGCCTACCTTTTAGTAACAAACAACGTCATTTCCTGTTAGTGACAAAGACTTTTTTAGAAACTCGATTGCGTTTGTTGTGAAAACCGAAAGTAACAGGAACACATAAATAATATCGCCATTGATCCTGACAGGCGAAAGACGTTCGTTTTTTTTACTCATGCACCCGTCTCATCTTCATGTTTCAAATTATACTTCTATTCAAGTAGTATTTTGCATGCTGAACACGAATATTATTATGGCATCCATTTTTCCCGCAAATCAATAGTTATTGAAGTTTGAAAGTAGTCATATTTTTATTTGGCTCAATATAACAAATTG